CACCAGCACTGCCACCACCACCATCACCAGCACTGCCACCACCACCATCACCAGCACTGCCACCACCGATACCACCACCATCACCAACACCACCACCAGCACTGTCACCACCACCACCACCACCAGCACTGTCACCACCACCACCATCACCAGCACTGCCACCACTGCCACCACCACCACCACCATCACCATAACCACCACCACCACCACCACCACCACCAGCACTGCCACCACCGCCATCAATACCAATGCTGCCACCACTGACATCAGCACTGCCACCACTGCCACCAACACCAGCGCTGGCCCAGCGTGGCTGCATACCCAATACTCACACCGTTTTCATGAATACCAACACCCTTGCTATCATCGCCAACAATGTCACCATGAACTCCAAACCCAGCATCCCACCCACAGCCGTCACCAGCGGCAACACACACAACCCCATAACGCCGATGGTCCTCGCCGACACCAGCCCCGAAAACCTCATCATTGATGTCCCCAGTCCCCACCATCGGGTCCGACATTTCCCCAACATCGCCCTGCTCCATCGTGGTCAATAACGCCACCACTTCCCACGACAGGATGCCTGTCACCGCCGTTATCAACACCAACGTCACTGGCACCCACGCCAGCACCCTCATCCTGTCACCACCGGCGCTATCCCAGAAACACCACCGTCGTCCAACCCTGAGCCGTCTCCTGCTCCTTGGCGCACACCCGCCGTGGGCTCCGCGAGTCAGGTGGGCACAGAGACAGGCCCAGGCCATCCAGGCCCTTCCCGAATCGTGAAGCACGGGGAGGTGGGAATGAATGACCAGGCTGCCGTCACCCAGCTGCTCCGCAGCCCCGACCCCACCCCAGGCGCCAGGCCTCTTGTCCCTGCAGGGGGCCCACATGCAGATGCCTCCCCTCCCTGGGCCCCTACCCTGGGAGCCACAGAGGGAGGGTCCCTTCTCCTCCTCCCGGCCCACCTGCTGCCGTCCCCCAACTCACTCACAGGTACTGCAGGTGGGACAGGCCGGCAAACGCGTCGTCCTCAATCACGGAGAAGGCGTTGGACGTGAAGAGTCTGGCAGGGGAGCAAGACAGACATTTTCCCAGAGTTGCTGCCCCCGTCTGACATTTTAACCGGCGCCCCTGCCCGCGCGGACGCCCACTCCCTCGAGCCCGGCCGGGCCCCACTCACAGCAGGTGCAGTGACGGCGTCCGCAGGAAGCTGCCGGCCTTCAGCTGGGTGACTCCGGTCCTCACGAGGGACCTGGGACGCGGGCAGAGGTGGGTGAGGGGAAGCCGCCCCAGTGCTCCATCCCCAAACCGGAGCCTCCTGCCGCCCAGGACACCCTAGCATGCCGCCCTGCCCCGGGGGTGTGTCCCCACGTCCCAGGAGAGACTAGCATTTGCCCTCCTCGCTCGGCAAGGACCCTGGGGTGCTCGGCCCACCCCCTGGCTGTGCGTCCTCCCAGGCCCCGAGTGCCCCCCTGCCCTCTGGGGTCTCCCCGCTGCTCCCAGCCCCACCCCCTGGGGTCCCAGGACTCTGGGCTCCACTCACAGGGACAGCAGGGTCGGGGGGAAGCTCGCGGGCAGGTCCGGGGAGCCCTCGCACAGGGCGCTGTCTTTGGAGCAGGAGCAGCGCGGCGGACACTTCCCTTTCGGGGGTCTCCAGGCCACCCCCAGCCCCACCCCGGCCAGCAGCAGCAGCAGGACGCCCGCCCCTCCCATGCCCCCACCCCGCTGAGGCAGCTGCTTCTCTGCCCACCGGCCCGGCCCACCCTGCGGCTACCTCTCCGCCACCGGGCGCCCCTCCATCCGCCCGCCGGGCTGGCGCGGCCGGCTCTGCCCCTCCCTCTAGGGCCTCCTCTCAGTCTGGTCCCCTGTGTCCCTTTGGTGTCTAATTCTGTTTCTCTTTCTCGCCCTCTCTTTGTGTCTCTTTGTGTTCTAACTCTGCGAGTTGGTCTGTTTCCCTCTCTCTGTCTTTCTCTCTCTGTCTTTCTGTCTCTGTCAATCTTCCAGTCTGTTCAGGTCTCTGTCCGTCTGGTGGCCTGTGTGTGTGTGTGTCCCTCTGTCTGGTGTCCTTATTCCTGGCCTCCCTGCCCGCCCTGCCCACCTCCCTGCAGTTTTCCCTCCTCCCACGCCCTGGAGATGGGGCTCGCTGGGCACCCGGCGTCCAGCAGGGCGGGAAGGAGGAGGGGGTCAGAGGACACAGGAAGAGCAGCTCTGGGGAAGGGACTGGACGGCCCTATGGGAGGGGGAGGGGCCACCAAGGGCTGGAGTCACCCCCACCCTTCCCGCCAGCCCCCTCCCCAGATTCCCCGCTCAGCTCAACCCCATCCAGGGATCTGAAGAGGATGTCACCAGGGCGGGGACCGGATGGCTTTGCAGAGTGGGGGCGGGAGGAGAGGCTGCTGGGGACGTCCTGGCCACTCCCAGCCAGCCCCTTCCCCTGGCCCCAGGAGGGCGTGGTGGCCACTGTCACCAAGGCTTGGAGGGGACAGCTCAGGTCCAGCTGCTCCCTCTGGTGGCCGCACTCAGCAGGACACCGCCCTGCCCCAAACGGGGTACCTCCTGCCCAACCCTGAAATTAACCCGAGTGCCCACCACCCACTGGGGTCAGGGCGCCAACCCAAGGTGATGATGATGATGATGCCACCCCTCCTTCAGCATTTGCTCTGCGCCAGGCCTTGTCCTACAAGCTCGCCTATTAACTTGGTCTGGTCTCGCCACAGCCCGGGCTGGAGAAGCAAGGGACAGGTCAGTAACCTGCTCTCTAGGTTACCCAGCTGGGGGCAGAGGCAGGATTCAAACCCAAGCCGCCGGCTCCAGGCCTCCTGTGTTATTTTGCGATCTTTCTTTGGAGATCAGAACCCTGCCCGAGACGCTGTGGCCCCTTGCTGCCCGCAGCTGAGGAACACGCAGCCTCTCTCGCCACGCACTGGGGGGCAGGGGACCTAACAGCACCAGGTCAGAGTTCGCACAGATCTGGGTTCCAGCCCGGTCCTGCGTGGCGTCAGGCAACTGGTCCTCAGTGTTCCCGTCTGTCGAATGGGGGCAATCACGACCCTCCGTTCCCAGTTGTGGAGAGGACTCAGGATGGGGGCAACGTACTCTTTTGGGGTTCAGCATGGGGTCAGGTGCTTGGGGGGGGGATGTCAGATCCAGGTCCGAGTCCTGCACCTGAGTACTCTGCAGTAACAGCGGGTACAAGGACAGTAATAATGATAGGTAACGTTTAAAAAAAAATCACGTATTGTGTTCCCAGGTTTTGGTCGCAAACATGGATTATTGGTAATCATCTCAACCTCCCTCCGAGGCGAACACTATTATTATATTATCCATTTTACAGAAGGAGAAAGAGAGCTACAGAGAGGTTAGGTCATTTGCCCAATGTCACACAGCTAGGGCGGGCTGAGCCACGCCACTGCGGCCCGGTTAGCCCTGCGGAGTCGGCCCCATGCGGGAAGGAAGCTGGGCTGGCTAAGAGCTGGACAGATGTCCTGCCTGCCGCCGTTTGTCCCTTGGCTCCCCCTGCCCCTCCCCGAGCTGCACAAACATCGGGTTATCATTAACCAGGGAATGCTGGTGACCTTGGGGGGCAGGCCACCAGGGGCAGAGGCTCGGAGGGCTCAGACAGACAGAGATGGGGCAGCCTTTCGAAGCTGCCTGGGTGCTCTGAGGCCACGTGTATACATGTGTGTGTGTGTTCGAGCATGTGTCAGGGCCACACCTGTGCCCTGGTGTGGCCACACCCCACTGCTCCCTCCAGACTCTGTCCTGCAGAGCGTGGTGTCCCGGCCGTGTCTGACCATCTCGTGGGGGCAGTTTCTGTCCTTCACCACCAGGGGGCGCTCGGGAGAAGGAGTCCCGCCTTGCTACACCCTGGTTTCCTCGTCCCTAAAATGGACTTAATAGCAGGACAATGTCAGGTTCGGCAACCTCTGAGCCCGGCCCAGGATCACACGTGTGACCTTAGTGATTCCTCCATCACATAGCGCAGGAAACTGAGGCACAGAGAGGTCACCAGGGCTGCCCAAGCTCACACAACCAGGAGTGCAGGTTTGCCTGCCACCGACCTGTGACCCTGGCATGCCAGTGAGGATACCAGGTGTGTTGTCCCCCCACTCCCGGGGCGTCGCAGAGGCCACACGAGCTCCGGGAAGGGCGAGTTTGGGGTTAAACACCTGCCCGTGGCCTTGGCGCGTGTGAGCACGCAAGGGTGCCAGCCCGGCTGTGCGCCGGTGTGCCCCGAGCCTGGGGGTGTGAACAGGTGTGTGCCTGTCTCTGTGGCTGTGTCAGAGTCCGGCTGTCGCGTGGCAGTGTCGACGGTGCTTTGCTTGTGTGTCTCCTTGTCTGGGTCCCCACGGAAATGGGCCGTGGCGTGCGTGTGCACCAAGCGTGTTGGCCTCTGAGGTCGCTTGAGAGGGCGGCTGTGGGTCTGTGCCGTTGAGCGTGGCTATGTGCGGGGTGTCTGTGTGGCCGCATGTGACAGCGTGCCCTGCCGTGGCTCTGTCTCTGTGTGCATGGCGGGCATGACCGGGGCCCTGCCTGTCACAGCAGCGGCCGGCACGCACACCCCAAAGCGGGCCTGCGGAGCTGCGGAGGGCTGCTCGGGACACTGGGGTCAGGAGTCCCTGGGCTCCTGGGCACTCAGGCTGGGTGACCTTGGGCCCCAGTGTGGCCCAACTCCCAGGGGACGATGCGCTCACGTGCGTGTGTGCCTTCCCCGCGGGCCTGCCGCCGCCCGCCGCCCCTCCATCTGCGAGGAGAGAGTTAACCCAGCGGGCCAGGGCGGTCTGGGCCGGGGGCCGCCCCCTGGCCCCCCTCCAGCCCCGGCTCCAGTTACAGCTGCTGTTGGGGAGGGCCGGCTGGGGTGGGGCTGGGAGGGAGCCTGCTGGGGGCGGGGCGTCCAGCTCGGGGCCAGGGGGTCCAAAGTGCTCAGACCCCGGGGCACAGCAGGACATTTGGGGGCCTTCCTTCAGCAGGGGACAGCCTGATTGGGGTGAGCGCCCCCGCCCCACCCCTCCGGGCCTCACCCCTGGCCTGGCTGGGCCTCCTGGTTTGGAAGCGGAATGGCCAGCCCCTGGCTTCCCAGGCAGGCCTGACCCAAGAGGGAGGGAGAGTGGCCGGGGCGCTGGGGCTCCGCGGGGGTGGCGTGGGGTGCGACTCCCCCCCTGCCGCTGCGTGTGCTCTCTGGCTGGGTGTGGGGTTTGGACACGCACGTGTGTCGGTCTGGTTGCGTCACTGTTGGGGGCACCGGAGGGCCAGATGAGGAGTGCCGTGTGCCTGCTGGTGTGTACACCCTCCCGCCCCCGCCCGCTGCAGGCAGAAGTTTGGGGGAGAGGGTGCTGTCTCATTCCACTCCGGCCCCACGCGTGCGTGCGTGCGTGTGCGTGTGCACGCAGCCCCGCCCTGGCATGTGTCCTCCATCCCTCAGGCCCACCAGCCTGGGCCTCATGTCACTCCTGGCCTGGTGTTGCCGGGTTGTGAAAGATGTCCCCAGAGGCGGCGGCGCGGGGGAGGGTGTTTTTCCCTCTTCTCATTGCTTCCTGGGGAGGAGAAGGGGTGGCCTTTCCCACAGGGCAGCCTGCGGCAATGTGGCAGCCAGGCCGCCCCGCGGGGCTGTGCGTGACCCCCGAGTGGGGGGAGGCAGGCTGTTGCCATGGTGGCCTGCCCGGGCGAATTCCTCCAGGGTGAAGTGGGAGATATTTATACCCAGGGTCAGGCCGCGAGCGGGCGGGCGGCCGAGGGCAGGAGCGCTGGGATTTCACTGGACACTGCAGGCCGCGGAGGGCAGGTGGGACTGGGGCGTGTCCCGCTGTCTTCACGAGTCCCTCTCTTCCTCTGCCCGAGTGAGGCCCCACCCTGCCCTCCCCTCTAGGGTAGGTTTGGGGAAGCCGGAGACCTTGCTGTTGTCTTGTGACCCCCGCCCCCACTGTGTTGACTGTTTTGGTGACACCATGTCCCCATGAAGCTTGGGGGATCCCTGTTTCTCGGGGCAACCAATCCGGGTGACTGACGCATTCATGAATTAGGTCCCTGGACTGCCTCCGACTTAATTCCTTGGGTTCAGGCCCCAGGGGTGGGGAGGACGGAGGGACACATTTCTTGACGCTTAGTGTCCCGCCAGGATAATGGTGTCTCTCAGCCACATCTTGGTCCTCTGTGTGGGTCTCCTCACCACGGCCAATGCAGGTGAGTCCAGGGGAGGCAGCCCACTGCCCACCTGGGCCCCAGGGTGGCAGGGGCAGGGAAAACCCCGCGAAAGCACCAGGTTGGGGACCCCAACCTACGCTGGGTCAGTTGGGGCACCAGAAGATTGAGGGTCTCCACGTGGGGCCCAGTGACAGGCTGGCGTCTGAGGGAGGGGAGAGGATGCCCCAGGGCAGGCGGAGGGGGGGGGATGCCATCGGCTCCCTGGACGGATGGTGGGACAGACAGCGGTCAGGCAGGGGGCTGGGCGGCGAGGTGGCTCCTGCCCCAGCTGGAAAGTGCACAGGGGACAGGGAGGACCCAGGGAGGGTGGGCAGCATGCCCAGACAGCCCCCAAACTCTCCGCCCAGGAGGGCCGAGCCCCAGAAGGTTCTAGTATGCCCCTCCCCGTCCAGGGTCTCAGGAAGCGTTCAACCTGATTTCTCTCTCTGCAGAGGCCCCAAAGGAACACGACCCGTTCACCTACGGTGAGGGCGAGGCTGGGTCTTCCTGTCACTCCTTATTCCTTCCCTCTCTCTCCCTGCCTCCCGGTTCTCTCCCTCCCCACCCACCCCTACTTTGCTCAGTGTTTACAGTCTGCCATTCCCTCGCGCTATCTCTGCCTGTGTTCCATCCCCCTGGTCTCTCTCTCTGCGTCTCCCTTTGATCTCGCTCTGGTCCTCTTGCTCCTTTTGCCCTGGCCTCTGTCAGTATGGCAGGGCCCATCCTCTGCTGCTTTCTCCCCTCCCCGTAGTCCCCCTCCTCCTCCCTACCCTCCACCCCTCCTCCCTGCCTGGGCCCCCCCCTCCTCTCCCCACTTTCCTACGCATCCTTCTCCCCTCCCTGGTCCTCCTCCCCTCCCGCCTCTCATGTCTGCTCCCCCCTCCTCGGTGCTCCTTCTCCCCTCCCCCTCCCTGCCCCCTCTGCCCCTCTCCCCTCCTCCCTGCCCTCACCCTCCTCCCTGCCGCCCTCAGACTACCAATCCCTGCGGATCGGAGGCCTCATCATCGCCGGGATCCTCTTCGTGCTGGGCATCCTCATCGTGCTCAGTGAGTGTCCCCCCCCCCAGCACCCCGCCCCGGCCCCGCCCCCGCCCGGCCAGGGAGCGAGCGCGCCCCCCGGCGGCCGGAGGAATCTCAGCCTTTCTCCCCCCTGCTTCCCCTCCCCCAGGCAAGAGATGCCGGTGCAAATTCAACCAGCAGCAGAGGTGAGAGGCCCCACTCGGCCCGGGAGGGCGCGGGAAGTCCACCCGACCCGCGGCCAGTGCCCCCGGCGGCGGCGAGTCTGTGTTAATTAAGCACCTACTGTGTGCCGAGCAAGGCCCAAGCCAGGCCCTGGGAGCGAGCCAGGGAAACGCCTCCCGCCCTCCCTGGCCCAGCTCCCAGCCCGGCGGGGGCGGCGGGTCCCCACGGCCCCACAGACAGAGAATCTCAAAGCGTGATAGCACAAAGTGCCGGAAAGGAAGGGCCGCGGCGGGCGGCGGAATGAGATCACCTCGCGAGGCGGCCCAGTTTAGCGTGCAGCCCTGCGCCTGGCGCTTGAGTCCTCTTTAAATAACATTTTAAAGCACAGCAGTGGACGGCTAAACGGTTGTGCGTGATGCTATAAGTAACGGCTGACACTTATTGGGTGTTTACTCCTCGCGTCGCCTCTGCGAGATAGGTGCTGTTAGGAACCCCATTTTACAGTTGAGGAAACTGAGGCACGGGGAGGTTAAAGCCACTTAGCCCAAGAACACTCAACTGGAAGATGGGGGTGGGGGGGGGTTCCTGGGTTTCCAGCCCAGGCCATCTCGTGGCTGTCAGCCGGGTCCCTTTGACCCTCTTTGACCCTGCACCAACTTCAAGTCCCTTCCCCCACCTTCCGGGAGGTACTCACTGTTCCCCTCCTGGAACACCCAAACTGGCCCTGGTCCTCCTGCACCGGCCTGGGAGATGAGGCCTGCACCTGGGCGGGGGGTCCCGGAAGGGCCGCCTCTCCCCTTCCCACCCCCACCCCCCCTGCCTCTGCCCTCCCAGGACCGGGGAACCTGATGAAGAGGAGGGAACTTTCCGCAGCTCCATCCGCCGTGAGTCTGGGGAGACCGTGGGCGTTTGGGGAGGGGGGAGGGCCGGTTCTAAGAACCCCTTTCCTGGCCCTCCCTGGGCGCCTAGCGGGACGGGCCTGGTCTGGGAGTCGCCCCGCCCCGCCCCTCCTCCACCGGAGCGAGGATGTCCCTTCTGACACCTGAACCCTGTGTCCCCCCCAGGTCTGTCCAGCCGCAGGCGGTAGAAACACCTGGCGCGATGGCACCCTGCCAGGTCCTGCAGCTCCGACGGGGCGGGGGAGGGGCCGGGGTGGGGGAGGGGCCGAGTTGCCGGGAGGGAGGGCGGGGAGGAGGAGGAGGAGGAGGGCTGGGGGGGGTCCCTCCTCACCTCTCACCCTTTTCACCCCGCAGGATTCCCTTGGCACCTGGCGCCTCCCACCCACCGCCTGCGTGCCCACCGCCACCCCCAGCGCCCCCGGCCCCGGCGGTGCGCCCCCAGACCCCGCACGCCGCCCCGACTCCCAATAAAACGTGCTTTTCTCCCCTGACGGCGCGTGGTTGATCTGTCGCCCCTCTGCGGGAAAGCCGGGGCGCCCCTGGGCCCGGCAGGGGGCGCCCCCACCCTTGGGAAGGGGCGGGGACGACGGCGGTGGGCGGGGGCGGGGGCGGGGGTGGCCTGCGCGGGGGCGGGCTCCCCGAGCCCCCATTGGCTACCGGCCCCCCCAGCACCAGGGCTCCCCCCGTCTCCCCCCACATCAGTCAGTCCTGCTTCCAGCTGCTGCAGCGCGCCTTCGCCGGCTCGGCACCCGCGCCCCCCGCTCCGGCCCGGCATGGCGACCCCCACCGAGACCCCCACGACGGGTGAGCGTCGCCTGGGGAGGGGGCGCGGGGGGCCCCCCCCCGCCACCTGGGAGCTTAGGAGAGCGGGTGTGGGCGATGCCAGGGTGGGTAAGGGAGGGGAGTGGGGAGGGGACGTCGCTCCTCCTGCGGGCGGAAGCCTCCCGCAGTGCACCCCCCCCCCGCGCCCCTCCGGGGTCTGGGGACACCCCCTCCCTGTGCGGGACCCGCGGTTAGAGAGGGGCAGTCCCGGGAGGAAGGATGCGCGGACAGGTCGCCATGGCAACCGGGTGGCTGGTCCAGCATAGCGATGGTAGCGGACCGCAGGAGATGGGCTTCGAGGGTGGGAGCGGGTGGCTCTTCGGCTGGAGAGGTTCTCGGAGGTATCGGGGTCCCTGGGGCGGGCAGGGGGAGGGGGTCCATATCCCTTTTCTTTCCAGCGCTGTCTCCTATGGTGGATGTTTCCCGAAACCCCCTGACAGGCATGTTCGGAGGGAAGGAGGGAGAGCCGGAGGGGGGTGGGGGGGAGAGATTGAGATTGAGGGCGCCGGAAAGGGGCAGAGACCGGGAGAGACAGGCGATCCGAGTCAGAGACCCAGAAAAACAGACTCGGATTCAGAGCGAGTGTCGGCGAGAGCAGGAGACAGAGATGCAGAGAGGGGAAATCAGAGACAGAGGGAGACTGAGAGACAGAGGGATTGACATAACTACGGAGAGGGATGCAGAGAGAGAGACGGGGAGGAAGAGAGGGACAGAAGGGGGGGACAGCATGGGGTGGGGCCCGAACCACTGCAGTGGACCTCCAGGGGTGGGAGTAGGGTGGCGGGACCCTCCTTCCCAGCCCACCTCCAGGGGTGTTTTTCAGTCCTGGGGAGCACTGGGTGGGCATGTAGATTTCCTTCCCGTGGGCACCCAGCCGCACACAGGTTTATATTTCACACCCATTAGCCCAGTTATGCACCCACTTAATCCCTGGCTCCCACCATTGTCCCCTGACAGCCCCCTTGGCTGAACTGCTTCTGCAGCAGGACGGGGATAGAATGCTTTAATGGTGGTGGGGGGGGTGTGCAGGCATGGCATGACAAGTGTTTCCAGCACTGGGGACAGGGCCAGGGGAATAGGGGTGGTGAGGACCCCCTGGCAGTGCAGAGAACCCCAATCCCACTCCTCTCTCTCCTTGCCTTCCCCCTTTCCCAGCAGCCAGCCCGGGGGCTGCTGCACTGAGCCGTATCTGCAGAATCGGGGCAGGGCGGGGTGGGGGGGCTGCAGAGGCTGGAAGCCACCCTGGGGAGAGGGGGCAGGGCCGAGGCAGCAGGCCTGGCGGGAACCCAGGGCTTCTTTTCGCAGAGATGGTGGTTAGCAAGGATCGATGGCAGCAGACGGCAGAGGTGGGAGGGCAGGCTCCTCATCCTCCCCTCCCTTGCCCCCCCTTCTCCAAGTCACAGCATGAGAGGGGACCGCAGGTCTTGGGAAATCCCGGGGGAGGGAAAGCATGTTGTGCATGACAAGCTGCTTAAGGAAACTAATTAATGAATAGTTGGGGAGCGAGGGGGAAGGAGGTGAGGCTGTCTCCACTCCTGCAGAGAACAGGAGGGAGAATTGGGGGGCAACAGAAAGGGGTCGGTGCATTAGCACAACTACGCCTGGGTCCCACCCCTGTGACGGACCCTCAGCTTGGCCAGAAGCCAGTCCTGCAGGGACAACAACTGGAGGTGCAGGAGGAGCAGAGGGGGTTCAGATTGGGCACCGAGTTAGAAATCCAAGCCTCACACAGGACCCCACCCAGCCCGGGGGGCCTGGACCCATCACTTCTCTTCACCTCTCAAGATGCCCCGGTTGCCATAGCAACCGCCTCCTTCCTGATCTCTCCTTGGCCACTGGCCAGGAGTAGTGCACATTCCTTTTCCTGCCTCCTGGCTCCACCCTTAGCCCAGCCTCGCCCTGAGGACCCAGATTGCTGGGGCAGCAGGGACCAGGGGAGGACCTTGTGCGTGAAGCGCTGAGCACTCAGGGAGGGACCCAAGAGGATTCTGGGACAGGAGCTCACCCAGTGGGTTCCCGATAACTTTGGGGGAGGGAGGGTGTGCGGAGAACCAAGAGACAAAAGTGAGATGACCCAACTGCTCCACCTTTGGTGCAGCAGCCTCCGGCAGCCTAGGAGGACCTTGCATTCATTCATTCATTCATTCATTCCGGGAAACTGACAGCCTATTATAGATATCAGAATGAACAGCAGAGATGAGTCAAACAAGTTTATCCACTGCCTCGAGGGGGAGCTAAGACAGAACACAAGTAACTCTAAAAACAATATTTCCCCATCTCGACACTTTTGAGTACCACCTTGATGATTTTTGCCCTATTCAAATGTTCCCCACGCTGCCAGTTAATATTTTTCCATCAAACGATTAGCTTTTTAAGAACTTAATTAGCTTTATTTTGTATCCCCCACCCCACAAATGGAAAATGACTCTTCTTTTGCCTTAAGTTGAAGGCAAGCATAAAAACAGTCTTAAGCAAGTGACTCTGCTTTTCTGGGTCCAGTGCCCACCTTTTGTGAAATGGGGGTGAAGATGGCACCTACATCAGAGAGTTGCTATGGAGATGAAATGTGTTGACATCTGTAAAGTGCTGTCTGGCCCGGGGACAGTGCGACCCACTGCTGGTTAGATAAATGCATGAAGGAGAAAACCAAATAATGTGGCAGACTCACACATTGTGTGAGCCAGTGCTGTCCAAGGCCTTGCCTTGGGGCCAACCTCTATCAGTCAGTATAGGCCAGAGTATGCTGCGGTAACAAAAGGTACCCAAAGTCCCAGTGGCATAGGACAACCAGGGTTCACTTCTCACTTACCCTACATGTCCATCACAGGTTGACAGGTCACCAAAGAAAACTAGAGCAGCCACCATCTTGAACAGGCAGGTCACCAGGCCAGAGGCAAAAGAGAGCTCTTGCATGGAGCACTTAGGTGCTCCAGGCCGGAGATGACAAGGACACTTTCTCTCACAATTCTTTGGCCAGAATTAGTCACGTGATCCCACCTAACCGCAAGGAAGCCATCCTTCCCTGAGTCTGGAAGGAGGGATATGAACATGAAGGACAGCACCTGGCATTACCCTGGTCCCCCCACGACCGCCCTTGAGTGGCAGACACTGACGAATTCTGCTCTAGACAAAGCCAAGTATAATAAGAACTATTAGAGGGGCCGGGCGTGGTGGCTCACGCCTGTAATCCTAGCTCTCTGGGAGGCCGAGGTGGGAGGATTGTTTGAGCTCAGTAGTTTGAGACCAGCCTGAGCAAGAGCGAGACCCTGTCTCTACTAAAAATAGAAAGAAATTACGGCCGGGCGCGGTGGCTCACGCCTGTAATCCTAGCTCTTGGGAGGCCGAGGCGGGCGGATTGCTCAAGGTCAGGAGTTCAAAACCAGCCTGAGCAAGAGCGAGACCCCGTCTCTACTATAAATAGAAAGAAATTAATTGGCCAACTGATATATATATAAAAAATTAGCCGGGCATGGTGGCGCATGCCTGTAGTCCCAGCTACTCGGGAGGCTGAGGCAGAAGGATCACTCAAGCCCAGGAGTTTGAGGTTGCTGTGAGCTAGGCTGACGCCACGGCACTCACTCTAGCCTGGACAACAAAGTGAGACTCTGTCTCAAAAAAAAAAAAAAGAAATTAATTGGCCAACTAAAAATATATATATAAAAAATTAGCCGGGCATGGTGGCACATGCCTGTAGTCCCAGCTACTTGGGAGGCTGAGGCGGGAGGATCGCTTGAGCCCAGGACTCCATGAGGATGGACTTCTTGAATGGGAATGATATTATATTCTGAGCTCTCCTGAAGGGAAATACGGTTGAGGGCAGGGAGGTGGGAGATGGAGAAAAGATAATTCACAGACACGTGCATATTTTATCCACTCGTTTAAGTTAAAAATATAGTGATATAAGGTATGAGTCAGCATGACTCCCCTGTCCTGGATTTGGTGGCAGGGGCCACTGGATGAGAGCAGTAGCCACGGCACCTGCCCATGGGGACTCTCGGATGACTGGGAAGTTTTAGGGAATAATCAGGGGAAGCTGTCACGTTCAGTGGTCCGCCAGTGGGAATGGGGTCTGTTAACCCTTTGGCACCATGTGCAAATAGGAGTGTGTATGTGTTTTTCAGGCAATGAGTCTTTAGTATCAGACCTCCACAGGGGTCTAGGACCAGGACTGCCATGCACGGTTGGTTAGGTTGTGCACTGCCCATGGGACGGTACTGACTGACGGAGTGTGTGGGGGCTGGAATCTAGCCTCTGTTCCACTCCCCAGGCCTTGTGTCCTGCCACGAGGCTACATCGTCCAGGGCAAGGGGCATCTTTACCTGATTTCCACAAAGAAACTATCGGGCCACTGGCCCCATTTGGATCTTGAAAAATGCTAAGAAACCCAGTGTTGAATGTTCGTTCTCTCTCTCTCTCTCTCTCCCTGCTTCCCCAAAGCTCCTGAGGAACCTGACCCATTTTACTATGGTGAGTGTTGGATTTGGGGATGGGGCTAGATGGAGGGGTGACTGCAGATCCCCACGGGTCACCACTGAAGTGGCTTCAGCTATGGCCACACGGTACGTGGCTTCAGCCACTGGCCACGTGGCCACATGGGGTACAGATCACATCAGCTGCGTTCATGGAGGGCAGAACCAGATTGGCGATGGGGCGGTGTCCCGCTCTCTCTGAGTCCCCTCCAGGCCTCCCCAGGGCTCTGGTGGAGCCATCAGAGAAGCAGACAAGGGAGAGCCTTAAAAGCAATGACTCGGAGGCCAGGCTGCGTGGGTTCGAATCCTGCCTCATCCACCTTCTAGCTGTGTGGCCTTGGGCAAATGACCTCTCTGGGCCCTTCTGTAAACAAGGGATCGTAATAGCTCCCACTTGTGAGGACTGTGGGAAAGATTGACCTGGATGATGCCATTAAATCGTCCCCATACACTGGTGCTCGAAGGAGTGTCCCCAGGTCTGGTGGGTCTGACCCAAGTTTCCCCTCTAAACACCCTACTGTCACCCCCACCCCAGCCCTTTGCTCATTGATCCTGTTCCGCCTGCAGGTCAGTTTCTTTCCCATCCTAGGGTGTTTGCGCTCACTGTTACTTCTGCCAGGAATTCTCCTCCCCTGGCTCTCCCCACAGATCTGACATTGACTCCCTGCTCCCAGGGGTGCTCCTTGATCCCCCCGGCAAGAAGAGCCACACACAGCCACCTGTGGTCACATGACTTTGTTTCTTGGATTTTCGTTTGTTTGGTGTTTTGTCACCGTACGAAAGTCAGCTCTTTGAGGGCAGAGGCCTGGGCCAGGCGGGTACAGCGCCAGTGCTCTGTAAGCTCATAGCTCAACAAAGTTACTGAGCACGTGCAGAGAAGCTCCTGGCACTTGGGGACACGGCAGTGAGCAGGACAGACAAGAACTCCTGCCCTGAGTGGCCTTATGCTCAAGGGGAAAGAGACAGACACTCGGGAAAATAAATATGAATATGATATAGTAGATAAGAATCTTATTAGGCAAGAATATGAGATGCGATTGATTTTTTTTTTTCCTTTTTTTGAGAAGGAGTCTTGCTCTGTTGCCTGAGCCAGAGTGCCATGGCGTCAGCCTAGCTCACAGCAACTTCCAACTCCTGGGCTCAAGTGATCCTCCTGCCTCAGCCTCCCGAGTAGCTGGGACTACAGGCATGCACAACCACGCCCGCCTCATTTTTTTCTATGTATTTTTAGTTGGCCAATTAATTTCTTTCTATTTCTAGTAGAGATGGAGTCTCGCTCTTGCTCAGGCTGATTTTGAACTCCTGACCTTGAGCGATCCACCCGCCTCGGCCTTCCAGAGAGCTAGGATTACAGGTGTGAGCCACTGCGCCCGGCCAGAGATACGATTAATTTTTGTGAAGGAAAATAAAGGAGGGAATGAAATTAGAAAGGGTTGTGGAGAGGATGGAAAATTCTACATAGGACAGCCAAAGAAGGTTCCACTCACATTTGAATAAAGCCCAGATGTTGGCGAGGGAAGGGGTCATGTGGGTATTTGGGGGAAGAGCTTTCAGGCAGAGGGGACAGCAAGTGCAAAGGCCCTGTGGTAGGACCAAGGCTGATGTGCTCCGGGAACAACAGGGAGGCTGGTATGGCTGGAGTGGATGGCTGATGAGAGCATGGAGTGGGATGACGTTTGAGGAGGAAGAGGGACTAGATTATACAGGGACTCCAGGGCCACGGAGAGGACGTTTTGGTTTCCATGTGGAGCACAGTGGGAGCCAGGGGAGGGCTCTGAGCTGGGGCGTCCTTGTCCCTGTGGGAGGTGGGGGCTGGGGTAGGGCAGCAAGACCATAGAGAGGGCTGCTGCCATAGCCCAGACAGGTGACGATGGTGGCAGGACCAGGACCAGGGAGAAGGCAGTAGAGGGAGATTATTCTATATATAGCTGGGGTCAGAAAATCTAGCCGGAGAGGGCAGGGGAGGAGGGGAGAGGGCGGAGAGCTCAGGGGGACCTAATGGTGCCCAAGCCCATGCTCTCCGCCCTCACGCTACCCCGGCCCGCAGCGCCCCTGGACTCCGGGCCCCGGGCTGGGCAGCCTGGAGTCAGGACCGGGGCTCTGGTGGGGCCGAGGTGCTGGCCTGGCCTTCACCTCCCCGTCGTCTTCCCCAGACTACAACACGGTGCAGACTGTGGGCATGACCCTGGCTACCATATTGTTCCTGCTTGGCATCCTCATCATCATCAGTGAGTGTGGCCCCTGCCTGGGCGCCCCTGGGTGCCTTCCGCCCCCCTGCTGGCTTTCGTCCTCGTGTCCTCTGTCCTGTCTCCTTGCGTTGTCTCTCTCTCTCTCCCACCAGGCAAGAAGGTCAAGTGCAGGAAGGCGGACTCCAGGTCTGAGAGGTCTGGCAACCGCAGGGAGAGGGGGGAGGGGGTGGGGACGGCCTGGGCCTGGGGTGCTCCCCCTGCCCCCCACCCCCAGAAGGGCCTGCTGGGCCTGTCACGTGTTTCGGGGGAAGCCTGTGCCTGTCGAACCTCTTTCTGCCTCTCTTCTCCTCTTTGCCTCCACAGCCCAACCTGCAAGTCCTGTAAGTCTGAGCTCCCCTCCTCAGGTGAGCGGGAGAAGTGTGTGGTTCAGGGAGTGTGGTGGGTGGCAGCAGGAGGGAGAATGGGGCCACCAACAGAGGGTCGTGGGACAATTCCGTAGCAGGGTGAGGAAGTTTGGCAGAGGAATGGCACTAACCCGTGAAGTGGGATGTCCTAAAGAGCCCATGAAGAGTCCCAGACGCCAACCCATAGGCCTGTAAAAGCAAGGACAGCCTAAGTCCCAGGGGACAAAGCCGAAAGCGTGTGACGAGAGGGGCCCAGGGGGGAGAAGGGCTCTGCCAGGCAGGGTGGAGAGAGAACGGAGCTGCAGAAGACAGGGCGAGAGAGGTTTCCAGACGCGATGGTTCAGCCGGGCAGGACTAGGATGAAAGGACTGCGGGAAAGGAGGGAGGGGACGGAGGGAAGGCAGGGTGGCTCCTGAACAGTGACATCAAAATAACAGAAAGGGAGAGGTACAGAATCCAGATTTTAAAATTCATGTTGGAGAAGGGAACATATGGGATGCAGGGAGCATGGGGCTGGAGGAGAGCTGGGCACAGGAGAGGATGGAGGAGTAGGGGGAGGACGGGGGAAGGGGGAGCACAGGAAGGGATGAGGGGGAGGGCGGGGGCGGGGCGAGTGGGCGCAGGTGGCTGGAAGGTGTGGGGGAAGGCGAGAGGGATGTAGGATGCAAGGGGCGGGTGAGCCTGTAGATGAAAGACTGTGACTCCTTGAGGGTGTTGATTTTAATTATGTAAAAATATCTTGACCTGTTTTTAGTGGCATTGCATCCTTTCCAGGGAGTTTTAAAAAATCAGAGATCTCTCCGCCTCTGATAAAGTTCTTATAACCAAAAGGAGGCGGGGGACGTCTCGGGCTGCTCAGTAGTTGCGGGAATTCGGCGTGGGATTTCGTTTCTTTCGTTTTCCCTTCTTGGAATGAGATTTAGAAACGCGAGGGGACCGCGGCCGTCCCGGTGGGAGGACGGCCCCGAGTGGGTGGGCCGCGGGGGTTCTTGTTGTGTCCGAGTGTGCAGGGTACAGGGTGCGCGACGGGAGTGAGGGTGTAGCAGGAGACTGGGGGTGTGGAACGGGGGTGGGGACACCCCGGAAAAGCCCAGGTTGGGCCTGGGGTCGCCGGCCCCATCACAGGTGTGTTCCCCTCCATGGCACGGTGTGTGGGGCGGGTGTCCCCACCGGGGCCAGACGCGAGGGTGCGGGAGGCCAGGCAGCCGCCCAGCGCTGGCTCGAGGGTGGCGGTCGGGGTGTCTGGCGCCGGGGACTGGGCGTGGGGAGCCGCGGGCAGTGGGGACTGCGCCCCAGGGCGCCGACGCTCTCCCTCTGTCCCCAGCCCCTGGCGGCGGCGGCGTGTAAGAGCAGCCCCGGAACCTCCACTGCTGTCCCTGCCTGGGCGCGGGAGCCTGAGGACCGGGTGGAGGCGGCGGGGACCCCAGCCATGCGCCGGGAGCGCCCCCCGAATGAGCCGCCCCGCCCACCCCAAGGCTGGAGCCGCTGCACCCCGCTGTCCCTCCCCGGACCTTGGCAATGACGACCCCCCAAAGAGCCCGTCAGTATCCCAGACCCGGGGACCCAGGCCTCCAGCTCCTGGGGTGCAGGAGTCCCTGGCGAGCCCCACCCCCTGAGAACCCCGGCGTACTGTCCCCCTGCACCTCCTTGTCTCCGCCCCGAGGATCCGTCCCCCTGCCCCCTCGGTGTCCGCGTCTTGAGCTTAATAAATGTGCATTTGGTTTCGCCCCTGTTCTGTCTGTGTGTTCTCATCTGTGGGGCCGCGGCGGGGGGTGGGGTGGGGGGGCGCGGCGCTGAACCTGGGGAGGCCCCCTGCGCGCCGGGTGCGCCCCTCTCTGCTCCCCATGCCCCAGTCGCCTCCTCTCCCTCACCCTCGGGGTGTCCCGTCCGCTCCCTCCACACCTCTGGGCCTGCCCCGTCCCTCCCCCCAGCAACCCCGGCGCAACCCGTCCCGCGCCCTCCCCGCAGGAGCCCCACCCGCCCGGGACCGGCCCGCGGGGGTCTCCATCCCTGCCCCCGCCAGGCCGGCCGGTGGGGCCCCGCCTGGCCCTCCCCCCTGCCCTGCGCCCTCCGCGTCTCCCCCTCCTGCCCCCACCCGGGCTCCGAGGCCAGGAAACCCAAGAGGAAATGACTGAGCCGGCTCGGTCCCCGCCCGCCCGCGCGCCCCTGGCCACACCCTCCGCCTGGACGCAGCCACCGCCGCGGCTCTCTCCCCACGCGGCCGCCGGTTTGGGACCCCAAGCTCGACGTGAGTCCCTCCTCCGCCCACCTCCGTCCGCCTCCCCTCCGCCCGCGCCGGGCTCAGGTGGGTGGGGGACCGGCCTGCTCCGTGCCTCTGCGCCCCCCGTTCATGCCACTCTTCTCATCTCCTCTCTGCACCGCGCCGGGCCGCACTGCCTCGCTCCCTGCTGCCTCAGTCTCCCCAGATCCCCTCCATCCCTCTCGGACCAGTGCGCCTCCGATCTGCTCGGCATCCGGCATCCCGTCCTGCGTCCCTGCAGGCGGCCCCCAGCACCAACTCACTTTTTCCTCTGAGATCAGGAGTTCATTACTCACTCTTCCTCTTTCCCGCCTCCGACTCCCGGGCCGCGGCCCCGGGGAAGAGCAGGAGTCCCCTGGTCGCCTCCCCTGCCCGGACCCCTCGGCCCTGCGCTGTCAGACGGAGGGGTAAGCGCCGGGCGGGGGAGCAGGGAGGCGCTTTTCCGCTTCAGGACTGTCCCCTGCCTTGCTGCTGCTGGGAGCCCCGTGGGTCTGATGCTTCTTGTGTTCTTGGGGGACCTGCAGGGGAGAGAAGTGGGGTGGCTTGGGGCCCCCACCTCTGGGCCCCTCCCCCTGCCCCAGAAGCCAGCTGCCACCTCTGATGCGGCTCAGGGTAGGGGATGGGGCCGCAGGGTCCCCGAGGCTGCCCCCAGCCTGTCCCCTGACATCATGGCTGACCCCGACATCGACTCTCCCCATAGATGTCGCCCTCTGGTCGCCTGTGTCTCCTCACCGTCATTGGCCTGATTCTCCCCAGCAGAGGTAAGCCCCAGCCCCTGTCCCCACCCCGTGCAGAGAGGCCCAGGCTGCCTGCTGGTGGGTGGGTGGGTGGGGAGATCAGATGCTCTGGGCTCTGTCCTGCCCCCTTACTGAGCTGGCACCAGGAAGTGGGGAGCCCTAGGGGAGGAGGGCTACACCCTCCTTGGACACTCAGAACTGGGTGGCCACTTCCAGCGAGTCTGGCCGGAGCCTGTCCTGCTGAGCAGCCTCCACCGTTTCACCTCTGAGAAGAGCACAGAGTTTGGTTTGGCGGGGAGGCTGGTGTCGGTTTCCCACTCTGCAGCCAGGAAACTGGGCTCCCAGCAAAGGCCGGGCCTGGGTCCCCAGCAACACGCAGTGAGGCAAAGGGCCCGGGCTGGGGCCCGTCCAGAGAGTCAGAGACATCCCAGCCCTGCCTGGGAAGTGCTTCCCAAAGGCGGGGACCAGGGGTGCATTTGCGGATGGTTTTACATGGCAGGCGCTGCGTGCGCTAGCTAGCTCGTTTAGGCTTCAGCTATACTCAGTTATGCATGTCGTGCCCATTTTATGGATGAGGAAACTGAGGCTCAGCGAGAGGAAGTGGCCCTGTGCCAGGGCCTGGTGAGCCTGTCCCCAGACCCAGAGCACACACTCCACTGGAGGTGACCCCGATTGTCTTAGACAAAATGGCTTTCAGGTCTTCTTTCAGTCATTCGACAGATACTTGTCGAATGACTGTGCCAGTGCCAGATCTACGCACTAGGGACACAGCAGTGGCTAAAACAAGAGGTCGCATTCTGGCGGGGAAAGATGACGAGTCATAAGGGATGTGGCAGTGTAGACAGCGTGCTGGAAGGTGCTACGTGCTGTGGAGAAAAGTAGAGGAGGGTGATGAGGATTGTCTGCACAGGGCGGTCAGGGAGGGCCTCACTGAGGAGGTGCCATTTGGGGAAACATGCCAAGGACACGAGGAATGAGCCTCGCAGGTGTCCGGGGGACGAGTGCTACCTGGGGAGTTGGAAGAACAGCAGGTGCGGGGGCGGGGGAGTGGGGGGGCTGGGTTGTGGGGAGAAAGAGGGGGAAGAGGAGAGGTCTGAGAAGTGAGGAAGGGACAGATGCAGGCAGGGGGTGGGGGGGACTTACAGGCCCGGTGAGGACTTTGCTGTCACCTGGAGCGAGGTGCCCCCCGGGCAGGGCTCTGAGCCAGGAGAGCCCTGACCTGACCCAGGTGTTCCCAGACTCCCTCTGGCTGCAGGTGGGGGACCAGACTGAAGGGGACAGGGACAGAGCAGGGGACCAGGGACAAGGCTGCTGCGTTGTCTGGGTGGGAGGGGAGGGAGGCCGGGCCAGGCTGGGGCTGGGGATGTGTCCGGCAGCGGGAGGAGCCCCTCCCCCTCTCTATCTCATCTCGCCTTACCCGGCCCCATGAAGTAGATTCAATTATTGTCACCGCTTTGCAGACCAGGCGGCCGAGGCTCAGAGAGAGGGGACTTCATTCACTCCAGGTCACACATCCAGAAAGTTTTGGGGAACAGAACTTGAACCCAGGGCCCTGGCTGACCCTGGCACCTGGGCTAACAAGACGAAACTGTCTCTCCCATTCCGCAAGGGTGGGCGGCGAGGGGGCTGGAGGAAGGTTCTCAGGCATTAGCGGCATTAGGGTAGCTTAAAATACTTCCAGCGCCATGGATTGACTGATACAGCCAAAGCTGAATGGTGCCACCAGCAGGTGGGGCCTCCGGAGTTCCCAGAGGTGCCCCCAAGGCTTCAGCAAGGAGGGCAGGGTGGGAGCACTGGTGGGAGAAGAGGGGACCAGGAGGGCTGCCCCTGCACCGACGTCTCATCCGTCATTCCCCAGGACAGACATTGCCGGAGGCCACGCCCGTCCCTCCAGCTGACCCAACTACTGTGGACTCGCATGTCCTGGCATCAACCCCAGGTGAGGCAAGAGCGACAATTCTGTTATTGCAAAGAACAGCAACAAAAATCCCCCCCTTGGACCAAACCCAGATAAGGGGATATATGGATTTGTGTAAATAGCAAGTTCAGGGTTAGACCCGGCTCAAACCAGGTGCTCAGAGGATGCCATCAGGAAGCCATCTCCGTGCCTTGGTTCTGCTGTCTCTGTCTTGGCTTCATTTTCAGGCAGGTTCTCCGGAGTCTCATGGGGCCAAGGTGGCCCCTAGAAGCCTGGAGCTTTCATCCTGCCTGCTAAGAATCCAAGCAAGGGAATCGCCCCTTCCCCAATCCAGGAAATTTCCCTGAACCAAGTGTCTTTGGCCAGGCTCAGGTCACACAGCCACCTGTGAGCTGATCGTTGTGGCCACAGGCGCAGAGAGCCCATGGCCAGGCCTGGGTCCCCTGTTCTGCCTCCAGCAGGGCTGGTGCCAGCCTGGCTGGGTAGAGTAGACCGAGAATCGGGGAAGGATCGCTCCCCAGGGGAAGTTCCAGGGGCTCTTATCAGAGCACGTGGGTGCTGGTTTGTGGTCAGAGGTATTCGGAAGACTGAGTTGAACACGTTTCTTTAGATGAGACATCTCAGAGTCTCCAGAAAGCTAATCTGCAGCCAGCTTCCCCCAGGAGCTCTAGGATGGCGTATATGGGGGAGGGGGGCTGAGTCAGGGGAGGTAATGGCAGCACATTTGGGCAGTTAGCAAATGGCTGGATTAATTAAGTCAATTTCATTACAACAAAATTGAGTTGCTATGGGAATCCCCTGTATTGAGTCTGCGGACTGTCTCCACTTCTTTCTCTGCTCTTCTCGCCCCGTCTGGGCCCGGACTCCAGATGCAGACCACCCAGAGCTCCAGCCCACCCCTCCGCCCCCAGCCCGGCCTGCGGATGGTGAGTGGGGCAAGCGGAGGGGCTGCGGGTGGGCCCGGGGCAGACGTACCTCCCCCCCTTCCGCTGACACTCTGGGTCTTTGCTTACCTATTTCAGTCTCAAGCTTTGAGTCCCCTGGCTTAACTTCGCGTGGGGCAGCAGCCAACTCCATTCAATACTTAAAAAACAAACAACAACAACAACAAAAAACTTTTGAAATTGTAAAATGAACATGCAAGGCCGGGCGTGGTGGCTCACGCCTGTAATCCTAGCACTTTGGGAGGCCGAGGCGGGCGGATTGCTCATGGTCAGGAGTTCAAAACCAGCCTGAGCGAGACCCTGTCTCTACCAAAAATAGAAAGAAATTAATTGACCAACTAAAAATATATATACAAAAAATTAGCCGGGCATGGTGGTGCATGCCTGTAGTCCCAGCTACTCGGGAGGCTGAGGCAGTAGGATCGCTGAGCCCAGGAGATTGAGGTTGCTGTGAGCCAAGCTGACGCCACGGCACTCACTCTAGCCTGGGCAAGTGAGACTCTGTCTCAAAAAAAAAAAAAAAAAAAAAAAATGAACATGCATATAGAAAAATCCAGAACCCATAAATGCACGACATAATGACTTTCTCTAAATCGAGCCCCCGTGTAACTACCGCCCAGGCCAAAGAGTAGAACTTGGCCAACACCCCCCGAAACTCCCTGTGTGCCAACTTCCTTCATTTCTTCCTTTCATCTCTGTATCTCTCTTTCCTTTTTTGAATTTTCAAACAAGTTTTGAACTTTTTCTTGGAGTATGACATCATTCAAATGCTCTTCCCAATTTTTGCGATTGATGTTTATTGACATAGTAGTATATAATAAACACATTCTCTGTAGAAAGAATAAAAATACCGTAAGTGAAACCAAATCCCGTTAACCCGCCCGCCCTCTTCCCTCCGTCTGACAATGAGAGGTCCCCACTGTTAGCACTGGGGTCGCTTCCCAGGGACATTGTATCACATGACTGTCACCTGGAAAAACGTACTATGACCGTGTGGTGCATTTGTGAGCTCAGGGAAACCATGAATGCTCTGCAACTTGCCTTGTTTTTTTTTTTTTTTTTTTTTTTTTTTATACCTGGGTCCTCTAGGCTATGTTTGTTTGTTTTTTTTCATGCAACAGTATCTTTGGCAGCTCCTCTTACATCACTATATAAAGACTCCTCTTGTTTTCTCTGCTGCCCAGCGTTCTGCAGGGTGGCTGGGCTGCGGTTACTGTCACACACCTCTGGAGCACATTGACTGCTTCCAGTTTCTTCCGTCTACACACAGCGCCACAATGAGCAAACGTGCCCCTTCCTCCTTGAACAAACACTTAGACTAGTATGTACTTCCTGTGTGCTGGTCATGGTTCTAAATATTTCACTTGTGTTAACTCACTCAATCCTCACACAAACCCTTTGAGGTTATATTATCTCCATTTTACAGGCTCAGAGTAACTCACAGCAAGTCAGGGATGCAGATGGGATTGAAGTCCAGGAATATAGTTCCAGAGACTGTGCTTTTATGCAAAACGCTACTGGGCAAATGCTGGGCGAGGTGCCTCGTGCCTGTAATCCTAGCACTCTGGGAGGCTGAGGCTGGAGGATTGCGTGAGCTCAGGAGTTCGAGACCAGCCTGAGCAAGAGCGAGACCCCCATCTCTACTAAAAATAGGAAAATTAGCCAGGCATCGTGGCGCATGCCTGTAGTCCCAGCTGTCTGGGAGGCTGAGGCAGGAGGATCGCTTGAGCCCAGGAGTTTGATGTTGCAGTTAGCTATGATGACACCATTGCACTCTACCCTGGGTGACAGAGTGAGAATCTGTCTCAAAAAACAAAAACAAAGAAATAAACAAGCAAAAAAACTCACCATGGGGCAAAGGACATGCACATTTCAATTTGTTTTGGAAGTTGCCCTCCCACCAGCAGTACATGGGAGAGCCCCTCACCCACTGCAGTGACCCGCAGTGACACCTGGTATACCATCATCTTTGGGTTTTGCCAGCCTGTCGGAGGGAGAGTGTCCCTTCTGTGCAATGAGTCTGCATGTCCCTAATTCAGTCTTTCCTCACCCTCCCCTCCTTGCTCTTCCGGCCGGAGTAGAAACAACACAGAACTGGACTGAGACGCCTCCCCAGACCCAGCAACCGACGGGAGTGGATGGACAGCCGGTGACACACCCAGCGACGCACAGCAGCACCAAGGAAGGTAGTGCCTGGGCCCGGGAGCAGCAGCCTACAATCTTTGTTTAATTCTCTATCTAGGTCGCCATTTCCCCGAGTACGCTTCTCCGAGCACCTGTCTGGGGAATTGTTAATACAGTTTCAAAAAAAAATTTTTTTTTTTTTTTTTGGTTTGTGATTAACCATGTTTGGTTGTGGTTAGCCATGTTTCCTTACAGCAGGACTTCTCAGAGTCTCGATTAAGCTAATTTACAGCAAACGTCCCCAGGGGGCAAAGCCAATATGCAGAGTCTCCCAAACTGATAGACTTGGGAACCCTCTTTCCGTCCCAGTTCCCTCCACAGGGCTGGTGCCATAAAATGCGGCTCTGGATGTTTCCTTTGTGCATGTCTTAATGACAGAGCAGGAACTCTTAAGTTGCAAGATACAGAAAATACAATTTAAGAAGATTTATTGGCTATATAATTCTGTAAAGTCCAGAGGTGGCCAATTTCAGGCACGGCTGGAGGGCCAGGGTCCTGGAAGTCCCCCTGCCTGGCTATGCTAGGTGTTGTTGCCCTTTAGTTCCTTTATCTCCTGGATTACAGGTTGGGTGGTCCAGGAGATTGTCGGAGAGGGGTGAGGGGAACCTCAGGGGTTAGGGCAGCTATAATCAGATGGTGCAGACTTAAGTTTGGTATATTGTGGTACCCGCCATTACGTGTTGCCTCCAGGGTGGAGTGGGGGGGGGGACACGCCTGACCCTGCACACTGGCTGTATAGATGTGGGGGAGGGGTTTCTCCCAGATACAGACTCTCAGTGAGGTCCCTGTTTCTGCCTCCGTCATCTTCCAGCCACTCTCTCTGCCCATCCCACCGAAGGCACGACGATGCTCACCAAGAGGACACCCCCAGGTGCAGACGTCAGAGACCCCCAGACCCCCATGCCACACGGTCAGTAACTCCCTTCCCGGACTGGAAGTAGGCTGTGTTTTCTCTTCACTGTGTTTTTCTAGCACCTAGAATACAGCCCAGCACAGAAGGGTCCTGGAAATATGTATTGAGTGAATAAATGGCTTCAAGCCTGGAGAGGGTGGGCACATAATATGTGTCTGAATAGAGGAATGGATGCATAAATGAATCCTGCATGCAAACCACCTCAGAACTCAATAACTTCAAGTGATAACCATTTATTCAGCTCTCAACTCGGCAGTTTGGAAATGTAGGCTGTGCTCAGCTGGGTGGTTCTTCTGGTTTCAGCTGGATTTACTTGTGCATCTGAGATTAGTTGTGGGTCAGCAGGGGGCTCTGTTTCGAGGGGCACCTGGATTATTCCCCTAGTAGTCTTATCCTCCACTTCCTGCCCAGTCAACCCCCTATGAATGAATGACGATGATATGCCCACAGGTCATATAGAGATGCCATTTCCCTATTCATTTAACAAATATTCATTGAGCACCTCCTGTATGCCAGGCACTGTCATAGGGCCAGGGATATAGCAGTGTACAAGAAAGACAAAAATCTCTGTCCTCATGGAACTGATATTCTATAGGGGAAGAAAGACAACAAATAATAATCATAATAATTATATGTCAGTTGAGTTTAACTTACCATCAAGAGAAAACAAAGCAGGGTTAGAGAGTGACTGAGGAGTACAGGTTGAGTATCCATTATTCAAAATGCTTGAGACCAGAAGTGTTCCAGATTTGGGATTTTTTTTTTTTTTTGAATTTTGGAATATTTTCATTATATTTACCAGTTCAGCATTCCTAATCCAAAAATCCAAACTCCAAAATGCTCCAGTGAGCACTCCTTTGGAGTATCATATTGGGTGCTCAAAAAGTTTCAGATTTTGGAACATTTTGGATTTTGGATTTTCAGATTAGCGATACTCAACCTGGATTTCCTATACAGGACCAGGGAAGGCCCCACTGAGAAGGAAGTGAAGGAAGTAGCCATGTGGATGTCCAGGGAAAGGGTGTTCCAGGCAGCGGGAACAGCCAGTGCAAAGGCCCTGAGGTGAGAAGGTATCTGGCACGCCCGACAGCAGGGAGGCCAGTGGGCTGGAGTGCAGCAAGTGAGGGGAGAGTGAAGAGATGAGGTTAGGGAGGTTAATGCAAACCAGAATGTGTGTCACGGTGAGGACTTTGGCTTTTGTTCTAAGGGTACCAAGGGTGAGACCCAGGTGTTCCCTCTCCCTGGCTCTGCCATTCGCTTGTTCCCGCCACAAACCTTCACTGAACTCTGCCTTGCTCCTTGTCTGTCCCCTCCAGGTTCCGATGAAGACAACCCCTTCTTCTATGGTAAGTTGCCCATGTGGGGAGATGTGGGGAGAGGAAAGGTGGAGGCCTCTCTATGACTATAGCCCTCCCTTTTCTCTCTACAGATGAAAGCACTCTCCGGAAACGGGGGCTCCTGGTGGCGGCTGTGCTGTTCATCACGGGCATTGCCATCCTCACCAGTGAGAATTGGGGGTGGGTGGGAATGGGAGGTTTGCTCTGTGGCTGAGGGTCACGTCCTCAAAGGCCCCCGGGCAATGTTGTTTTAAATGAGTCATCCATTAGCTATATATCCATACGAACTGCCCCCGAATTCAATGGTTTAAAATGATTAACAAGTATTTAGCTCTCAAGCATGCACTTTGGAAATGTAGGCTGGGCTCAGCTGGGTGGCTCTTCTGGTCTCAGCTGGATTTGCTCACCCATCTGAGGTCAGTTGTGGATCAGCAGGGATCTCTGTTCTTGGCTCTTTGCCCCATGGTCTTACCTAACTAACCCGGGCTTGTTCACATGATGGTGGCAGTGGTCTGAGACAGAGAGAGAGAGAGAAAGTGAGAGCAAAAGAGTGCAGGCTCAGAACTGGCCACTATCACCTCCGACACATTCTAGCAAGTCACAAGGCCAGGCGTCATCCAAGCAGTCAGGAAATTGATTTGCTCTTGCTGGGAAGAGAGGCAAAGTCACATTGCAAGGGATGTGGACACTGTTGGGGAGGGGGAGAGAACTGGGGGCTGTTCTGGAAGTCAACAAACCACGCCGGGGTCACAAGCCCACTGTGACCTGGTGGGCCGAGGGCTGAACGAGGCTGGGGGGGGAGGAGGCAGATGAGCACTGATGCTTTATCTGGGGGAGCAGCCCCACCCACTCTGTTGCGCAAGGATAGGGGCCTGGAGCTGCCGTAGTAGCCACTCCTTCAAGAGCTCCACCTTCACGTAAAATCTTCCAGTGCATGGGTATTAGCAGCTGTGTTGGCCAGGGTCATGGCAGGTGGCACATGGGCCCACAAAGGGTTAACTGGAGACCGTTGAACAGAGGGACTTTTCCACCACCAGGGTAACAGGGGATGGTGCAGCGCCAGCCCCAGGACTGGCCACTGTGGGGAGCTGTAATCAGCTGGGCCTGGGGCGTGGGAGGAGGTCATGGCTGTGCCAGGGCCCAACCAGGACAGAGCAGGGCCGAGGGGATCAGACACCTGACCCTCCCTCTCCTCCTGTCCTCCTGCCTCCCGCTAGTGTGGAACTATGGAGCACGGGGCCGGGGCATGTGGCCAGTCAGGTCGGCCCCACCGGTGCCCAACACAGGGCAGGGAAGGGTGGAAAGGGGGAAATGACAAGCAGAGAAACTAAGGTTTCTCCAATGCTGCGGGTGAGATGGAACCCAAGGGCCCCCAGTTCATAAGCTCTTAGTTAATCTGCGTAGTTTGCACCAGGTTTCGCTGCTCTCTTCTCCCGAGTCTTCATCTGGAAGACGAGCACGGCAGGTGTGCTGTGCCTTAATGGGAGGAAGCAATCAGCATCGCTCCAGCTCATGGCTGCACCTTCCCTTCCCCCGCAGGCGGCAAGTGTAGGCAGTTGTCGAAGTTATGCCGGAATCATCGCAGGTGAGTCGGTCAGCAGCAGGGGCCGGCAGCCCGAGACTGAGCCCCCCGCCAGCTCACCGTGCCCAGCCGCCTCCCCGCCCTCAAATAGCCCCAAGAGCGGTCAGCATGAGAAGCCCAGCCCGAGGGGGAAGACGCAGATGGATGGAGCCGGAGCTGGGGCTGACAGCCGGAGTCCCCACCCTGTCCCCCCAGGAAGGCTGGCGGGCTCCCTGGGCACTGCCCGTCCTCTCTGTTCAGACAAAATTAAAGCACAGTGGCTCTCACCCTGTGGTCTCTGATCATTCCTGACCGGGGAGTGGAAGAGAGGCAGGTCCTGGCCTCGGGGCCCCCACCCCTAGGATTGGAGCGAGGAGTCAAATTAGAGGCAGGGAACAGAGAAGGAAGCCTGGGGCCGGCTGGTGGCCAGGGAAAGAGTCAGGACTGGATCGTGCCCGCGGGCAGCGTGAGCCCCCGCTTGGTCCCCGAGGGGAGTGTGGTGTCCAATGGCAGCTCCGGCAAACACAGGTGGAGGTCCGGCCCCCGTGGTCCCCTCTCCTTCAAACTGCAGGTCTCTCCTGCACTGGGAGCCGACCCACACACGAGTGTGGACACCCCAGTCTGCACATCCAAGCCCCATGCACACCCCCCAACGCACAAATGGCCATCTCTGGGCCATCTCTCGGCTTAGAGACAGACGTGTCCATTAAGAAGGCCATATGGCCCCTGGCGTGGGCTCAGAGCAATCTGAGGGAGGAATTGTGGGGTGCAGGGGACCCAGAATACGGTCCGGAAGGGGCGTAGGCACTGGTGGGCATTTCCTAAAGGCCCCTGGACCCCACGGCCCATGGGGAGGGAGCTCAGCTGAGTGGCCCCTCCTAGGCACAAGGCCTGGGCCAGGGGCTGTGCCCAGGCACAAGGATGGTGCCAAAGTAAAGAGACAAGATCCCCGTCACCGGGGTTGCATAACAATGTTTCACAAATTTCAGGTCCCAGCCCATTCGTGGGTTACAAAATCAGTTTAGTGGGCCATGAGTAGCATTAAAGAAATGAGAGAAAGAAGAAGTCATAAAATGAAAAAGAAAATATCAACATGTCACTAATAATAAATGCAAGATTTTATATCTATAATACTTACAATATGTTACATATATATATGTATACTGGATACATACTGCAGAGACTAAAAATATTTCTATATTGGCACCCACCACTTACTAATAAGAACAGATGTCTGATAAGGAAGGAGTGTCATCTATTGATATATATGTATATATTTGTATACATAAGGGATTACATCTATTAAATTGAATCATTTAAAAATGTTACTGTTCAAATATTTTTTTTTTTTTTTTTTTGAGTCAGAGTCTCACTCTGTTGCCTGGGCAAGAGTGTCATGGTGTCAGCCTAGCTTACAGCAACCTCAACTCCTGGGCTCAAGCAATCCTCCTGCCTCAGCCTCCCGAGTAGCTGGGACTACAGGCATGTACCACCATGCCTGGCTAATTTTTTAATATATTTTTTTAGTAGGCCAATTAATTTCTTTCTATTTTTATTAGAGATGGAGTCTTGCTCTTGCTCAGGCTGGTTTTGAACTCCTGGCCTTGAGCGATGCTCCCACCTGGGCCTCCCAGAGTGCTAAGATTACAGGCATGAACCACCTCAACAGGCCCTGTTCAAATATTTCTGACATACAAAAATAGCAATTTCGGCCGGGCGCGGTGGCTCACGCCTGCAATCCTAGCACTCTGGGAGGCCCAGGCAGGCGGATCACTCGAGGTCAGGAGTTCGAAACCAGCCTGAGCAAGAGCGAGACCCTGTCTCTACTATAAATAGAAAAGAAATTAATTGGCCAACCAATATATATAGAAAAAATTAGCCGAGCATGGTGGTGCATGCCTGTAGTCCCAGCTACTCGGGAGGCTGAGGCAGGAGGATTGCTTGAGCCCAGGAGTTTAAGGTTGCCGTGACCTAGGCTGACGCCACAGCACTTACTCTAGCCTGGGCAACAGAGTGAGACTCTGTCTCAAAAAAAACCCAAAAAACAAAAATAGCAATTTCATATGGCTTGACCTAATGATATACATAATAATGGTGATATCAAATGCATGTCATACTGTGGGTCACTTTTTAAAAACATCGGGAAGCACTGGGGCTCGGGGACATAGGTGGTGGCAGGGGAGAGACATTGCTTGTTAGGACAGGAAATGCCGGCAGCCACATCTGTCCCCTGCCGTGGTGGCCACGTCAGTATTTGGAAGATGTTTTCAGGACGGTATTTCCCAAACTTCAGTCGTCACATACCCAATTCCCAACGGCTGACACATTTTTCACCCCCCAACCCTGCACTATTATTATTCACTCTTTTAAAAGAACAACTCCCCTTTTAACTTAAATGAAAGGATTTTGCAAGGCGCACTCATGTATGGCTGACCAGCACTGCTTGATCGCAAAGAAATGAAGAAGAAGTCGTGTTGCATTTGCGCTGGACACGGAATTGCACGGAATTCCAAGGGCCAGACTGCGCTCTGTTGGAGGAACGCCACCGAGTGCCAGGGTCGGGATGTCACCCTCCTGCCCAGAGAGACTGCAGCGTCTGGGGATGTGGTCGTCACCGTACTGCCCAAAGAAGGTTCGGGAGACCCCAAGACCAGTCTCACTTCCAACACCACCTGCAGGTTCGAGCATCCCCGAGACCACCCGTAGGTCTGACGATCGGCTGGAAGGACTCACAGAACTCACTGCGTGCGGACGTACTCACATGGGCGGTTTATTATAGCGAAAGGAAACATTAAACTCAGCCGAGGAAACAGACGCGTGGGGAAGAGGCCAGGAAGGTTCCAAGCACGATGGTTCCAGTTGTCCTCTCCTGGGGAAGTCATGGATGGTGCTGGCTTTTTCCCGGCAATGATGTGTGAACACACACACACACATACACACACACACACACACACACACACACACACACACTGTTGCTAACCGAGCCAGGGAGCTCTCTCAAGCCTTGGCATCCAGAATTTTGAGCATGGCACAGTCATACCACGCGGCTGGCGCTGTGTGGCCCACGGTCCCCACCGCAAATCACATGGTTAGGAACAATCTGGCGTGGCCCAAGGCCATGTGCAAACAAAGACACTCTTATCACGGAACATTCCAAGGGCCTGGAGATTACCTTCCCGCAGCCAAGGGCAGAAGTCAGACCTTTCTCTGGACAAAGTTAATTCTTTACTACACGGAGACTTTTTCTCCCTCCTATCACTTAATGGACTGAGAAACATTCGAAGGTGATTTGCTTTTTGGCGATGGAATCCGATGTGATTGGATATTGTTTGGGGCCTAAAAGTGTCTCACAGGCCGCCACGCCAGCTCAGCAGAACGCCCGGGGGCCTCCGTGGGCAGAACAAGGTCACTCACGGGGCACGGCAGGGCGTTGGCGACTGATGCTTCCCCTCCTCCTTCCACCTTCCCGGGGTTGGTGCCATGTCCCCAGATGTCCCCCTGAGACGGGGCTCGGGATGTGGATCCAGCTCTGCTAGTCAGAGGCCCTCACGCAGGATTCGGAAGACCAAAAGCCGTCGTCTGTCTGCGTCACTGGCTGTGCTCTGCGGGCTCCCACAGCTGTGAAAGGGTCGCGCTTTCTGGCCACCCCATGCCTGCGTCCCGTCACCAGCCTTACGGGCATTAAAAGGTAGTTGCATCCGAGCGCCGTGGCTCACGGCTGTAATCCCAGCACTCTGAGAGGCCAAGGTGGGCGGATTGCTTGAGGTCAGGAGTTCCAAACCAGCCTGAGTAAGAGTGAGACCCCCGTCTCTACTATAAATAGAAATTAATTGGCCAACTGATACATATAGAAAAAAATTAGCCGGGCATGGTGGCGCATGCCTGTAGTCCCAGCTACTGGGGAGGCTGAGGCAGCAGGATTGCTTGAGCCCAGGAGATTGAGGTTGCTGTGAGCTAGGCTGACGCCACGGCACTCGCTCTAGCCTGGGCAACAAAGCGAGACTCTGTCTCAAAAAAATAAATAAATAAATAAATAAATAAATAAAATAAAAATAAAAAGCCAGTTGTGCTCATAAAAGAATATCTAAGTGGCCCAAAAGCACAGGAGAAGGTGCCCAATGTCATTAGTCTGCGGGAGACTTGGCCACCACGCCTCATTCCAGGAGAAAAATCAGAAGGGAAAAACAAGTGTTGGGGAGGAAAAGGCACCACCAGGTGATTCCACTCCTGGGAAAGAGCCTTCCCAAGGTCCCTTCCCAAATACTTCTGCTCACTTCTGACTGGCCACCTCTATCTGCAAAGGAAACTGAGGAATGCAGTCTTTTAGCTGAGACCATGACACCCTGATGCCACCAGGGGAAACCACAGCCTCCGGGGATTTGTCGACGTGGTGAGAAGGGTGCTGAGCTTCCACCAAGCCCGGACGCGGGGGCTTGAGCCATTTTTATTCCTTCTGCAAGGACAATAGAACTCTTAAGACTGGGGGGCTGTTGAGACTTTCAGGGGGCAGCAGCACTGAATCTCAGAGGTGGGAAAGACCTCCAGAAAGCTCCCCAACGGCGCCCCCCCCCCCTGTGCTCCCAAAGGGCTGCTCATCTGCTGCCCAAACCCTTTCTGGCTCGAGACACCTTTTTCTGTTGTGTCATTGTCTGAACCGACGCCCCCTCCTCCTCCACCCTTACGTCAGGGCAGGTTTCTTGCCAAGCGCTAATGGAGTGGATCTTGTAATTCAGCCAGCCTCCCCAGCACAATTCCGTCAAGGCTCTTGTTTTGGAAGCATTGAGGCCAAATCCCATTAACTGAGAGGAGTCTGCTTTTTATCATCTGACACTAGACTGTGCTCTTCCCAGGGTGTTGGGCAGGACCTGCCCTGCCTGCTTCTAAGGAGGGTGGGGAGTCGAGGACTCCAGCTCCTCAGGGTGGGAGATTAAACACGGACTTGAAACGGGGTCCCACCTAGCTCTGTACTGCGTCGGCTTGGCTAGGTGAAACTACACTTCCCAGAATTCCTTTCCCCAGACGCCTGCACGGTTCTGTTACGGTGGGTCACAAGAGACATTCTTGTGGGAGATTTGCTGGGTAGGGGCTGGAGCCGCAGTCATTTTGTAGCTTATGCTGGTTGTCCCTCATGTCGTGGGCATGTGGCAGGACTGCAACTCTCTCACCCTCCCTGGGTCCACCTTCTGGTTCTTGAACACCTGGGCCAGGTGTGCGCTTAGCCCCCTGATGAAAGGCCCTGGCTCCAGCAGGGCACCCACATAACCAAGCTCAGAGGCAACAAGAGCTG